CACATTTTCTCAATTTAAAGCTTTTACAATATTTCGCGGCGCCCCTGTAAGGAGGCCGCGGCGCACAGTTTTCGAATCACTGTCCTAAGCAACCATGCTCTTATTCAAGATCTACTGAAAGTTTCAAAAACCTACTTAATTCAAATAAAGTTCCCCATTGTCTTCGAGCATCTGCCAGGGGAGATCAGCAGCCCTAATGAACATCTGCTGGAGAATGACAAGGAACGGACTGCTAAAAGAGCCTCAAGTAACATCCAAACACCGAATTTGGTATTACAGCCAGGGATGGTGATTTTGCTGTACATGGCAGGAGGTCTGACAAGCCAGAAATCGTCCAGTCTGCTGGCCTGCCTTTGCACCATTTACTGTATTGCAGAGCTGTAGTGTGATGGCACTTTCCACATGACGTGGTTTCAAATCTCATTAGGAGTTCTGATGAGATGAAAGTGCAAGGTCGATGATGCAGTCCAGCCGGGATGGGAAAACATTTTGGAAGTCCAATTAAATGGCACCTTAAGGGCAGCTCATTTGATTGTGGGCAACTTCATTATGAAGACCAAGATGGTGTGTCCTTTTGTGTGGTCGCAGTCCCCCTTCGTTGTATAGAAGTTGTTTGACCTTGTTTTTGCAACTCGGTCATATTGGTAGGAAGATTTAGAGGAACGCATCTTGTCCGGAGTCCATTGTATGCATGATCATTTCCAAAGTCGGACTGTGGACGTGGTACATTCCCAGACGTTTCGCCGGCATCGTAGTCGGCATTGTCAGTGTATCGCCGGTCTTAGCACCATATAACAACTCGGCAAAGAGACAAGTGAAGCCTTTGACCAAACGGGTGCTAAGCAGTTTTGGTATCTCCCCTTCTGTCCTGGGCTATTCACATTTCCTATATCCTCATATCACACCGTCACTGTCACAGTTTTTATCGTGCTTATTCTCAATGTACTGTCGTGTGCTCCTTCGAGCGGCATTCATGAAAACCCTTCACACTCCACACTGTCGTTATCACCCCCTTC